GAAAGAGAGGTAGGGGTATTTTTGACAGTGTCTTGCCACATTTTAGTCCTCCTGTGCCAGTTACCCACTTTACCAAAACCTTGGTTGTGTACCAGCAGGCTCTGCCTATTTAGTTTGGGCCAGGAACTGAACTCAGGGCTCCCATGCAGCCTCAGCAATCATATAGTAGTGCCCTCCCACCTGTGGCTTGGGCCTCTATTATAATTTCTGAAATACATCATTCAGATTTTCCCTGAGTAATTTTGTTTTAAAAAAATCAAATAAATTGGGCCAGCCAGTGGTGCAATGGTTAAGGCGACTGGATCCCCCATGGCCAACTGTGTGGTTCAATTCCTAGATCCGGCAGCTTAAAAAATATGTATGTGTGTGTGCTTAAAATTTCAAGAGGAGAATGGGGAAGGGATGGTGGCATTGGCATTCCCCCTGGAGGGTGGAAAATGATTTCTCATTTTCTCTGTCTCCATCTCTCCATAGCACATTTTAAAAAATTCTGGGACCAGCAGATGGAATAACGGTTATGTTGCTGGGCATGTATGTAATCAACTGCGATTCAAATCCTGGATCTGGTAGCTTAAAATTCAAGCTAGGCATGCGTGTGCATGCCCCAAGATTCTGAGAGCATGGAGGAGATGAGATTGAAGCATGGCCACCCTTCCAAGTAGTGATTTCTCACTTTCTATATCTCCGTCTCTCTTTGTCCTTCTGGCGTACGCACATGCCCCCTAGCAAAAATCCCCCCTAAAAAATTCAAATAGATTACTACCCGATGTAGTTGTACAATTGTTAGACATCATCTCTAAATGAATTTTTTTTTTTATAACTTGTATTATTGTGAAGGCTGGACTAGCTAGGGAGATGGTAGTAGATGAACTTTGAAAACTTTCTCTAGTTCTGTTCTTCACCTCAAATGTATCACACTTTCAAAATATATCCTTTGGTAGAAATGCTTATATTTGTGTAGTGACTGACGGTTTCCTTATTAGTATTACTTCATTAGTTGAAGTGGAGACAGATTGCTTTCCATAAATGACTGATATACCACTTACACACGCATAAGACCAACTCCACAGACAAGGGACTGATAACCAGAATACACAGGGAACCAAGTGCCTTATGCAAAAAAAAAACAAAGCACCTACCT